CTTTAAGGGGCATGAAATGTGTTGGGCCAAAAATCAAAATTCAATAAAAAATTCCCAAACTTGCGGAAAAAAGCAAGTTTCATGACTTTCATTGTTTTGACGAGCGCCTGATTTCACATTTTATAGCGCATTTCTAAAGAAATAGCTCAAAGCGCTTTACATTGAAATACCCATTTTCAAAACCTTTCTTACTACTTTCTTTCTTCTCGTGCAATATATATTTATATATACACACACACACACACACACACACACACACACACACACAGACACACATACACACACACAGACTATTTTCATCCAAACATAGGAACACAACAACTATAATGAAAAATAACGTTAAAAGCTTATGAAGGATAGGCCTGTTGGAGCAGAAAATGCTTAAGATGTCTTTTGAAGCTATCAAGTGTTTTTATTTGACTTAGTTTCATGGGTAATCTGTTCCACATAGATGGACCAAGATATGAGAAAGATCTTTCTCCTTATGATTTGTATGATTTTACAGGTACTGTAGGGTGTTATCGTTTGATGATCTTAGGTTTCTCCCGGCTTATATATACACTGATAAGTTCTTGTAGATAAAAATGAGCAGTTTTATTTACACATTTGAAACACATGACGCAGATTTTAAATATTATTCTTTCTTTTACAAGGAGTCAATGCAGTTCTTTTAATAGTGGACTGACATGGTCTCGTTTTTTTAGATCTTGTTATCAGTCTAGTGGCTTTGTTTTGAATTACTTGTAAACAATTAAAATATTTGTTGTTCAGACCAGGGGCGGTTTGTTAACTGGGCAAGACCGGCAGTGCGGGGTCAGATTTTTGTCAACTGAACTGTTGACTAGAGGTTTATTGCTGATGACGATTTTCATTCAGTTTTAAGTAAATCCAAACAAACATGTATCAACATTAAAAAACACCTTGCCGATTTGAAGGCGCTCAAATAGACAAGTGGGATTCACTGCTGTTTTGTCGCGACATAACCTCATTCCTTCACGTTTGTTATCGCGCCGGCTCGTAACTTTAAATCGTCTCCTGTCAAAACGTCACGTCGCGAAACTTCGTACTACGTACACACAAATA